TCTGTGCACTGTGGAACCTTCATTTATACATATTCAGATGTAGAACGAAAATCTGCGTCGAATGGTGTATAATTCAACGGATTTTAAAAGAAAAATTTTTAGGTTTTTCCGAGGTGATGTGGACGTTGAATACAGCACAGATTACTGATTTTAAAGAGATCTAAGTCCTCATAAACTTTTTATCCTCTTTGTTGTCGTGTCGGCTATGCATGTTGTTATGGCGCCCCATGAACAAAGAACTACTGTCAGAATAGTGAAGTGACTGATTAGCTGAATACGATGGTGCAAATGACTAGGTCTCTTCCATTCAGATAGAGATATACATATATCCAAGACATATCTCTATTGACATTTGTTTCACATTTGCGTATTCCGTCTCTCTCTGGAAAAGAGCAAAATTCAAAATTCGAGCGCTTTTTCTTTTTTCGATTTTATTACATGGATATATGCGCTGCGGCGTGCTGATTTTAACCATGTATAATTTGTTTGGAAAAAGTTCTTTTTTCGGGTCAAAACAGGCCAAAAACTGGAAAAACCGCAGGTTCAAAAGTACTCTGAAAAGTTATGTATGTATGCACGTTGCTGAGAAAATTCATTTTTCTAAATCAGGCCGAAGAACACGGAATTTCACTCGGAATTCTCAATTTTCTCAATCAGAACTCTAGTTTTGAGCAATAAATATATCATATTCTGAATCAGGATCAAAATCTGAATCGATTGATGTGTATCTCTATCCATCCTACCCGAGTGCCGTAATTTCTTTTCGAATTTTCACTCGTTCATAAGTTAACGATTTTTAAACGAAAACGAAAGGTTTTCCCCCCGTTCGAAAGACCATCGATTTTTACCGACTCAGAATGAAGTTATAACTTTGGAGAAAACATTTTCTAAATCCATTTTTGATGAAGATTTTGAAAGCATATTTGCTAGAACTCTATCTCCTTTCGTTAAAAAGCTGCAGGCTCTTTTCTCCAAAAGCTCTCTTTTTTGAACCTTCGATTCTCTCAGTTTTTTGCTTGTTTTGACCTGACCCTCACCCTTCACCCTGAAAAAAGAACTTTTTCCAAACAACTTAAACATGGTTAGAATCAGCACGTCGCGGCGTATCCATCCATGTAATAAAATCGAAAAAAGAAAAAACGCTCGAGTTTTGAATTTCTGGAATCTTACTTATTTTAACAATATCACACTCTGAAATCGTGTAAAAACATATAGTGACCACTGACATGAATTGTGTTCCTAAATGAGTATGTCCGCATGATTCTGTATCAAGAAATCTGTTTAGCCATTTATATAAAACTATCTCTTCAGCATATTTTCCATTATTTTTCAACTCCTGAACATAATGACCATATCGGTTTAACGTTAAAAACGATGAATAAACCGAATAAAAGTCACTGACGGTACTTCTAAAACGATACTTCCATGCAGTTCGAGCACCGTACCGAGCATCGAAAATTACATAGACTCCCACATTTCTCTTCCAAAAAAGCTACATCGCGGGTGTCAAATTTTAGGGATGTCAAAGTTCACTTTCCCTTACAACGGAGCAACTTTGACCTCGTGTTTCTGCAGTCGAAGAGTTAGCATGTACCCTTATATGAAAGCACAGTTCGAGTGGTACAAGTGTTGATACTTTAAACTTGTACATTCTCTTGGTTATGAAAATGCACGCGTTGTAGTATTACAAAATAGTCAAGAAAATGATTAACATTTATTAAAATTATTGAAGAAAGAAGAATGGGATAGCACTTCAGTTAGTATGCAGATGTGAAGATTCTTAATCATCTGCACAGTTGATGGTGCACAAAAACTGTTTGCTATATGTATTCGTTCGTTTTTCTTTATCGCTAGCACAAGAGAGCAATAGACCTTGTGTACTATTGTATACCAGACTGTGGAAAGAAAATAAGAAAGAAACACGAACATAGTCGTGTGCTTTGCATATACCACATTTGCGTCTTTCTATACACAAAGCATGTCATCAACAAAATCTTATGAATGGAAAATATTAGCACTTGGTAGTGATCAGCAACTAGGTGAAGAAATTAAACAACATTTACATTCTCTTGGTTATAAAAATGCACGCGTTGTATTAGGAGGAATGGGTGTGCGACATCGAGGTGGTAAAGCATTAGGACGACATGTTGTATCGCGGAGTGAGGCAGCCTGATGTATCTAGTAGGGTATAAGACGATTAGCATTAGTCGTGCCCAGAAGAACAGCATTAGATAGGCGTTGAATTTGATACGTTGCAGGACCGAGTTTTTTTGACAATGCGGCAAGGTCAAGGTGGATCAAGTCTGCTAGCTGTCCATTTCCCGGGTAATGGTTTAAGGTAAACGCTGCAAGAGGAAATCAGTAGCCCGAACATGACGTAACAAACTATCGTTAATAATTAAGTGGTGATGAGAGGGAGGTGAGAGTACATTCATTTGATGAAAGACTCTACCCTAGTCAGAAACCTATACATTTCTTGACAGAGTCCTGTCAGGATTTAGCTGGCTTTTTGGTAGGATCCTAGGAAAATCTTACAGAATCCTAAAGAAATCAGGTATACCGGAAAGTTGTGGGATTTGCCAGGATTCTGTTAGGATCCTAGCAAGAAAATGCGATGACTGAATCATAATGTATCAGGAATTATTTAGGATTTTAGTAGGAAAAGATAATTCTTGAACAGGAATTTCATAAGATTGCTTATATGTTCCCATCTCTCGTGAAATTTCTCCATCCGTCCTCATTATTTGACCAAAAGTTACCAGATATTTCTTTGTAACTCTAAAGCATCTAAAAATGGCGCGTATACATTTATTGCTTCAACCTGAGATTAGCTATCCTTATTCATTAAGAAACAAAATCCTAGCAGGATCCTAAATGTTAGGATCTGAGATTCCTGGTAGGAGTCTAACATCTCAGATCCTGTCAGGAAATTTTTAGGATCCTATAGGATCCTGGTAGGAAACAGATAAGAAGTGCGTAGGATTTTGTCTAGGGTAGAATCAACAGGGGTTGTACCAATGAAAGATAGAAACTATCAAACATCAAAATTAGGCTAGGAATGAAGAAACGTTGAGAACATCAGTAAAGATGATGAATATGTAAGGTCCAGTGAAAGGTAGACATGGTAGGTTGCAAAAAAAATGATGCGCCATTCTATATAAGATCTGACGCTTAAATTCATCATTCAAATAGCCAAACGATACACTATCATAGTGCAAGAAGTATAACGAAAGACAATCAAGGAAATAACAAGAAAAAGCGTGTACGGATACATGAAGACGCTAAAGGAATCTTCTGCGCAATCTGTTGCGCAAGCACAAAAATAAAAAAATGTTATGTGGGGGGGATGCTTGCGAACTGCAAACCCAAAGTAATAAGTAATAAAAAGAACTGAGGTCTAACACTACCACAGTGTCGACGACATTGTGTAGTCGCCTGTATGGGTAGTGTAGGCTACTTAAAAAAGAATAACGTTAAGTGGAGAGAAGATCCGTGTGAAATCGGTAAAACCTATGACCGATAGATTGATATCCGGAGATGAGTAAATTATTTGTACTTCCATTTCCAAAACTCCGAGTGTAGTGCTAGGAAATTTCGGATAAGGAGGCAGCGACGGAGGGAATTATTAGGAAAGAACGAGACTCTATCAGGAAGAGGATGGGCTTCCATAAGCTGGAGTTTCAGGATAGATCGAGCAAGGGGTTTATCGGTAGGCAAAGAGGAAACTGGAGCTAGCTGGACTATTTCAGCTTCAGTTGAGGGAAGGCTAGTTGAGTAAGCCTCTACTGACAGAGTGCGTTCATCTTCAGGGTCAGAAAGAGGAATATCCGATATGCGGCTTGTTCAAAGGTAACGCTATGACATTTTTGACACAGTAATTTGCATTTTTCTCGAAAACTATAGGGGCTGGAAAGTTCGTTTTTGCGCCATTCGACGCGGCTCTTCTTACTCTATTTTGATTATAAAAACGAAGATTTTTAGTTAAAAACTCCAGCTTCCAGAAAAGCTCTTTAGACCGGTAACGCTATGACATAAAAAGGCCCTATATTCTAACTACTCCTCGTTAAAGTGCAAATTCCTGCGAATTTAGAAGAGCTAGTAAAAAGTATCTAGAGGAAAGTTTATAGAGGAGCTAACGAGCTTTCTTTTGCTAAAAAAGTTTTTTTCAGAATCCTTTACTTTGTTTATAAAACACAATTTACTAAAGTAACGCTATGACACGCTTTTTTTTCGCTTGCGTATTCTCACTAGTTAGAATTCGACTGAATAGACTTTCTAGATCTCGAGGTAGATATTTTTTCGACTTTCACAACTGAAATCTGTGTTCTGCGTCTTCCTCGAACCTTTTAACTCGTGCTAAACCCATATCTATCGCTTCAGGGTGATCTGATTGCATTAATTCAAATTTACTTACAGTGGAGGACTTGGCCACTAGTATTGAGAGCATGCTAACTCAACTACTAGTGTTTCTACAGCTCGGGACGAAGACCCGGCCTCCATGAGCTGGGTAGTTTTCTGAAAGTTCTTTACGTGAGGGTTCAAAAGTGTATCTTTTTTTCTTTGTTTT